TCTCAAAAAAAAAAAAACGAAACAGAATAGTGTCCAGAAACAAATCTGAACACAAATAGACCAATGAACAGACAACAGTGCCCAAAGACAGAGCTGTGCACAGGTAGTGACCTTGTGTATGACAAAAATGACATCGTAGAATAATGGGGTAAAGGATAGTCTTTTCAGTAAATGATCCTGGGCCAACTGGATAACATATTAAAAAATGCATAATGAATCTTTTATATAGATTATAGACTATGAAATGAAAAAGAACAAAGTTGCTAGAAGCAAGCTCTGAAAACTTCATGGCCTTAAATATTTTAAGTAGGACACAGAGGTTCCAAAAAAGGACTTCAGCCTTCCCACTGTGGAAAGGGGCAACCAGGGATTACTATACTAGATAAGAGAAGAAAGCCTCTAACAAGATAGCAATGACAAAATAATCAGAGAGAAAATGCTAGAACACAAGAAGAGCCCATTACAGGAGAAGAAGATGATTTTGAAAATCAACATCTTTAGAGGTAAAATATTTTGACTTTAAAACATGAATAAGTGCTTTTTTTAAATAAAGCAATTATTCAGAGAAACAAGAGTTCATGGAAATTAAAATGAAAGCAGAATTTGAAAACTCAATAGAGAAATTCTGCCACTAAAAAATTAGAAAACCAGAAAAGAAAAAAAAATAGCTTTCGTTGTTCAAAGGCAATGGACATCACAGGTGAACTTTGGAGTAAGTTGGAGTAATTGAGGAGATCCTGCAGGTCTTCAGAGAATTGAAAACAGATCACAACTGATGAAGAATCAAAATGATTGTGGATTTCTCAATAGCAGACAGGTCTGAAAACAATGGAGCTATGTCTTCAAGTTTCTGAAGGACAAAGGCTTCTAGTGCTGACTTCTCTCTGATCCAACTATCTAGAAAGTGTCAGGGTAGAAAAAAGACATTTGCAGACAAGTAAGACTACAAAACATGTATTCCCACGCATCCTTTCTTAGAAAACTATTGGAATATGTGTGCCACCAAAAGAAGGGAGTAAACCAAGAGAGAAGATGACAGGGTACAGCACCCCAGGTAAGAGGGGATTTGCAGAAGGAAGACAGCTGGGTACCAACTGCTTTAGAAAGGAACAGGACAGATGACTCCATAAGAAATATCTCCAGCTATTTACAATAGCTAAGCTATGGAAACAACCCAAATGCCCAAAAATAGATAACTGGATCAAGATGTGGTATGTATACACAAAGGAATATTACTCAGCAATCAAAAAAGATAAACTCATGCAATTTGCAGCAACATGGATGGAGCTGGAAGGGATCATGCTCAGCAAAATATGCCAGAAAGAAAAAGAAAAATACCGGATGGTCTCACTCATAGCAGGAATTTAGAAAACCCTAATAAGGGACTAATTATAATAAAGAAAAAATCAAAATCAACAAGCAACTATAACCCAGAGACACACTGGGGGGGGGGAGGAGAGAAGAAGAGGGATTAGGATCAGAATAAGGGAGGTGGGAATTGTATGGGGAATATAACCAAAATGAAAATGCACACATTGTGCAAAAATGAAAAATGATGTAAGAATTATATAAAATAAAATATTTTTTTAAAAAAGGAAATAACAAAATAAAAAACAAACAAACAAAAAGAAACATCTCCAGGAAGATAAAATTGTCAGAATCACTTCTGAATTCAAAAACTTAGATGTAAATAACTAGAGAAAGGCTAAGACTGAATTAGTGATTAATATAAACTAAATTAAGAATCAATGACCTCTGGGAATAAAATGTTTAGGAAAGCAGAAGCTGTCGTAATTTACTACATAGATCAGTTCTGAATTGCACTTAAGAGCATGAACGCTGATGACTGCTCTAACTCAAACTGCATACAAGTATACTGGTGGGGCAGAGAATGGAAAAGGCAAAAAAGATGTATTCCTCACTTTTTACAGAAGGACTTTAATAAATAATATCTAAAGTTAGAAAGAGAAGAGAGGGAAATATAAACATGTGCCTGGAGACATGTAAGCAAATATGCCAAATTTTTGGAGACATGTAAGCAAATATGCCAAATATGCCAAATAATCATCTAAAAGAGAAAATAGTTACTAAAGAGGGGAAATTAAATGCACGTACTGCTTTAATAAAATTTAAAAAAAGAAAAAAAGCCAAATGAAAGAAATAATGAAGAGCAAAAATTAATAAAACAGAAAAAACAGAATCAGCAAAGTCAAACATCTATTTAAAAAGTCTATTTAAAAAGGTAAACCTCTGACAAGACTTATACCAAAAAAAGGACAAAAGTCATTAGAAATTCATGCTTTCATTCATCAACTGCATACTGGGAACTGGTGTGTAAAGTATGTAAGAGCAAATAAGACCTTGTCCCTCCCTCAAGGATCTAAAGATTGAAAGAATTAAAAAAGACAGAGAAAACGCTAAGATAAAAATCATAAATACTGCTATATTTTACTTCATTAAGAACTTCTGTTAGTAAAGAAAAAGACAAGCTGAAGACTGACATATAGATTCCTGAATATACATAGCACTGCTTATTTATATTCAGTATTAGATTCCGACTATATATAGAGCTACAAATGAGTAAAAAAAGAATATATGTAGTCACAGAACACAATCAACAGATGAAAAGATGAACAACTTCACTAAGTAACAAATAACAAAAAATAACAAATGATAATCAGCAATCTGGAAAAATCTAGGTGCAGGGGTATAATTCCAGCTACTGACTCTCCCAGACTTGAAGCAGGAAGGAGTGTGGGAGGGGGGCTTCCCAAGTGCTGCCCTGCCCATTCCTGAAGCCGGAGAATGGGGTGTGGGTTATTTGTTAAACTGCTCAAAAATATAACACATTCTGTTTTGCTACAGGATGTACAGAATTCAAAACACATTTATTTAAAAGTAAAGAGAAGAAATGATAATGCTAAGTTCGAAAATAATGCAGACAACATTATAAAAAGAAAGAGGACATGATAAATTTGTGGATGAATAATATGCACAGTTATAAACTAAAATCTTTTATAGTTCAGAAAAAGGTAATTTAAAGCTAAAAGGTAAAAAGTACAATTGGTTTAACAAAAAGAAACCTAAACAGATTAAAAACTAAATAAGGTAAAAATTATTAGCAAAATACTAAAATGAAAGGATCAGGTCGTTTTAGGTGTACTGGGTAAACAATTTCTGTGGTGGTAAAGCCATTTTGGAGAAGGGGAAAAATACAATGGTTTGAGGATCAGATGGGTTTATTGCTAGCTTTATCCTAATCCTGATTTGCCACATAATAGCCACATTAAATCCATCCAAATTACTTAACCACTCCTAGGCTCTGTGATCTATAAAGTGGGGTTTATTATACTTGCCTCACAGCTTGTAAGGGTTAAATGGGCAGCCAACATTCATCCCGATATACTGCTCACCCACAGGTGCTCAAATGCAACTCTCCCCTCAGTATATAGCCCATGGCCCAGAGAAGAGAACATGAAAAAGGAAAGCTGCCTTTTAGAACGGCTTTGTCGTCTATGTTGAAAAATTCAGGTCTACCTGTACCCCTATGTTTATTGCAGCACTATTTACAATAGGTAAAACCTGGAAACAACCCAAATGCCCAAAAATAGATGACTGGATCAAGAAGATGTGGTGTATATACACAGTGGAATATTATTCAGCATTCAAAAAAGATAAACTCATGCCATTCGCAGCAACGTGGGTGGAGCAAGAAGGAATTATGCTCAGTGAAATAAGCCAGAAGGAGAAAGAAAAATATCAGATGGTTTCACTTATAGCAGGAATATAGGGGAACCAAATAAGACATCAGTGTAAAAAAATAATAACAGTACAAAACACAACAAAGCAAAAACGGACAATTATAAACCAGAGACATCCTGCAGGGGAGGAGGAGGGAGAGGGATCAGAGGGAGGGAGGGAGGAGCACAGGGGACTGAGGTGATGGTGCACGGGTGCATTGGGGAAGGAAACTCTATGGGGACTACACCTGAGGGGGTAGGGGGAGGCAAATAATGTTTAAAAATGAACAATGATGTAAAAAATAAAAAAATTAATTAAAAAAGAAAGATGGGTAAAAAAAATTTCAGGTCTAATCTTAGCTAAGAGTAAATGGTACAGCAATGTACAGTTGTACATGCAGCTCCTTGAAAATCAGAGGCAAAACTTACCACCATTGCTCCATGGCTTTTGTTTGCCACTCTGGCATAATATCATTCATTCTTCCATTAATTCATCATTCACACTAATTCTTTATGAAAATGAAGGACTTTTATGCCTACAAGGGATTTTATAGGCAGGTGTAGGGGATGACATGAAAATCGAACCATGTTCCAGCTCATCTCATTTCTGAATAGCCTGGAACCCCAAAATTTGAGTTGACTCATTGTAGGGTAAATGATGTCAGGCTTTTCTGCCCTCCCTGCGGTCCTGAATACATGCCTGATGGCGGGCACCTGGAGTGGGGTGTGGGCGTACCTAGGTGGGTTCACCTGGGCTGAGAGACGGCTCATAAGAGTGGCGTCATAGGATGCTGGAGGAGAAGACCACCAGAAGAACCAGAAAGAGAAGCAGAGGCCATGAGAGAAGGCCAGAGAGCCCAGAAAGACTCGCTGGGGGCTGGAGGGCCTGCCAGCCTCCTGGCCACCCAGCACCCGACTGCCATGTACCTGGTAAACTCAATAAAAGCCTGAAAAAGCCACCGAGGGCTCCAGGACTCCTCCTTTACCCCGCCTGCTCAAATCATGGAGATCCTGCTCTGTGCTATTCCTGCTGCTACACTCATGAAGGATGATTAGCACTTAGCCAGTCAGATGCAGAGTGAGTTCCTTTTATCTCTCCCAGTAGTTTCTACCCCCCATCAATTTGACAATGCACGCAGGGATAAATGTGGCAAAGAGGTATTAAGGTGAAAAAGAAGAGAAAAGCTGCTAATTTCTCAGACCACAGGCCTGGCATATTTGCCAGGTTCTTCCTGATGTCTGCCAAATATAGATTCTTACCATGACAGATGCCTCCTGAGGCCTCCTTGAGCATCCATTCTTCCCCTTTGCCCAGCCGAGAAAGCATATCTGGTTTGGGTGCTAAAAGTCCTGTTTTTGAGGGGAAAAAATGGAAACCACATCTGTTCATACCAGAGATAAAATCATTGCAAGCATAATATCTGGTCCTTGGAATTTCCTGGAAAGGACTTGATTCCCAGTAGGAAAGATGGCTTGGGGCTAACACAGACACTGTTCTGTCCTTTATCTGCTAGAAGCGAGGGAAGATTCCACTCAGTGGTATAAATTTTCACAGCCGGCTTTTCACTTTGGTAACACAAATGCCTGGTTTAAGCTTTTATACCAACACATCTATTTCAAAGGGAGCTGATTCACATAATATACTGGCAGCCACAAGACCAGGTAAGAGCTAGGTTGCCTATCTCCACTCAGGCCCCTTTATCCATTGTATAGACAAGTAAACAATCAGAAAGACTTAAGTTTCTTATTTTTTCCCCCTCTTTTCCCTTGCTTTAAATTCTCACTTATTTAAATTCACCAGTAAGAGTGAGGCTGTGAAACACTAGATTCTCCCATTCAGTCCTCATAAAAGCAGGACCCAAAGTCTATGCTCCTTTACCTGCAATCTCACTATGGCCCAGGTGTGCTGTGTAGTTTCCAGGTCTTGTAAGTAATGAATCTGCTTTTTCGGTTTCCTGAGGGCTACTGCTAAAGGGCACATGTTATAATCATAGTAAGAATCCATGGACAAGTCCAGTTGTAATACTGACTTAAAGAGGAAATATTTAGGGGAAATTCACAAGGACCCAGGTGCATGCCCGAGGCATTTCTAGTCATAGTGGAATTATCAATAGTTTGTGACCCACACAAAACAGACCCCTAGTTTTCTTATAAGTATCAGCACTTGGAAGGATGACCATGTAGCAGTCTTGAAGATAATGCCATTGATTAGCTCATTCCCAGCCCAACCTTCTAGCTAGAACCAATTTAAGGGTTCCAAAGAGATCTGAAGATGTGAAGATGAGCCCTCAGAGGCTCTCACTTACCGAGTGAGACGAGGTTGCTGTAATTCTCCAGCATTACATCCCTGTACAGGGCCCTCTGAGCAGGGCTCAGCTGTGCCCACTCGTCCTGGGCAAAGAACACGGCCACATCCTTGAAGGTCACTGATTCCTGTAACAGCAAATGCTTCCCTGTTGGCCGGAGGCTACCCCTTAACATAGCTTTGAAGACATGTTGAGACTAGCAGCCTCCAGGGATCTGGTAGGGTCTGCTGGACTACAACCATCTGGGGAACTGATGTTTTGGGACAAGGCAAACATGCTCAGGGGCTCCTAAAAATCTAGTTTTCATTCTCTTTTGTTCCCTGCTTTGCAGAAACACATACTGTGAAAACATGTCTTCAGCACAGGTACTTCACACTTGCTGTTCATTTTGCTCAGAACATTTTTTCCTATCTCCCTCCCTCAATCTTCCCAAGCCACCTCCATCCCGCTCCCTTATGACTAAATAAGACCCTGTAGGGTAAGTAAAATTATCAGGCTTTTCTGCCCTCCCGCCATTAGGATTAATGATGGATCCCTGCAGTCCTGAATGCATGCCTGATGGCGGGCACCTGGAGCAGGGTGTGGGCATGCTAGATGGGATTCACCTGGGCCAAGAGACTGGGCCTATAAGGCCAGGGCGGCAGAGGATGGTGTGGTGTGGTGTATGGAGCAGTGCGGCGGAGTGCGGCTGGGAAGATCAGAGGAAAAAGAATGAGAGCGAAAGAGAACGCAATAGCAGAGTGAAAGAGAGCAGAGACCACGAAAGAACGCCAGAGAGCGCCCCCACCCCGCACCCCTGCCTGCCGTGTACCTGGTAAAACCCCAATAAAAGCCTGAAAAGCCACTGAGGGCACCAGGACTCTCCTTTACTCTGTTCAATCATAAAATCCTGCCCTGTGCCCATTCCTGCCGCTACAGACCCCTACCTGGGTCTCAACTTAAACATTACATCCTCAGTGCAGCCTCCTTCTCTGCTCCCACATCTCCTTGTAGACCCTCTGGAGCACTGTCTCATTTAATCCTGTGTTTTGGTTTGTTTTCAATCTCTCTCCTTCCTGCCAACTGTTAACACTAAGAAGCTATGGGCCATTTTCACATTTTCCTTATCTTCCCAGGATTTCTTCTAGAACATGGTCCCTATAGCCAGCAGTTATTACTTGTTGATCCAGCAACTCCTGCTTTTCTTCAGCTGTTCACTTGCACACCCCCAACATCCATGCATGGTTCCCATGGAAATCATCATCTGGACAATCTGACCTTGTCCCCTCTCATCACAACTGGTCCCTTCCTTGTAAATTCTTGGCTGAGAAGCCAAGGGAGCTGGTGTGTACCAAGAAAGAATTAAATAGAAGCTCAGAGAAAAGAGCCAAGAGTCTAAGACAAAGGACTCTGGACTCCAGTTGCATAGCCAAAATCCAACTGCACTGGAGAAATACTTGGGAGATAGCCGAGTATCCTTCCAAGAAAGGCCTGAGTTAGGTTTGTTACCTGCATTCAGAATCTTTGAAAGGTAGACAACAACAAAACAAAAGCAACACTTGTTGGATTGAATCGATGAACCAATCTGTCAGGGACTATTGTTCATCTTTGTATCACAAATATAAATCGTAACATATTAGTGCATTTTACATCCCTAATATAGGTCTGTCAAATGGTAACCAAATTAAGGCGTGATAAGCATGAGATGAATTGTGTGACACTAATTATTTGAGGAAAGGGTTAGGAAGGGAAATATTACAGTGTATTGGCACTGTGGGTGGCAGATTTCACAGAAAAAGTGGTACCTGTGATGGGTCATTAAGAACAAGTTAGAAACTGGAAGAAGGGTGATCTGCCAAGTAGCTGAAACTGGGTTGAACTTGACACATTCAACTGGCTGCCCATCTCTTCCAGAATTTCATTAGGATATAGACCTAAAAGGAGTATATCTTGTATGTCAACTATACTTCAATAAACCAATTTAAAAAAGATTCCTTTTCTGGTCAGGTTTAAACGTGAATGATTTAGAGCAATTTTAGCCAATTCACTAGAACTTATACACCCAAATGCTCTCTCTTTCAAAGTGGAGTTCATAATCTTATTTTAAAAATGGCTGGCACTACTCAAAACATTTTAGTAATTTATTGAAATTGGAAACATATCTTTTGTTTTTTTTTTTTGTTTTTTTTTTATAAAATAAATTTTATTTTTATATTCCCCATACAATTGCAACCCCCCCATTCTGACCCCAATCCCTCCCCTCCCGCCCCCCCACCCCCCAAAAAGTGTCTCTGGTTCATAGTTTTTTGTTGATTTTGATTTTCACTTTCTTATATTCATTTTCCTGGTCCCTTATTTAAGTTTTCTAGATTCCTGCTATGAGTGAGACCATCCGGTATTTTTCTTTTTCTTTTTGGCTTATTTCACTGAGCATGATCCCTTCCAGCGCCATCCATGTTGCTGCAAATTGCATGTGTTTATCTTTTTTGAATGCTGAGTAATATTCCATGGTATATATGTACCACATCTTCTTGATCCAGTCATCTATTTTTGGGCATTTGGTCTGTTTCCAAAGCTTAGCTATTGTAAACAGTGCTGCTATAAACATAGGTGTGCAGGTGTTCTTTGGAATTGATGTTTCTGTATCCTTTGGGTAAATACCTAGGAGTGGAATTGCTGGATCATATGGAAGCTCTAGGAAACATATCTTTTGAATGATCTCACTGGGGTCAAATGTCATTACAAGGAAAAGTGTCCAGAAACCCCACCCTCCAAGAAAGAGTTCTAATTTCTCTCTTTTAACTCCTGCCTTTCCCACCCTAGAGTCTTGATTTTACTTGGTAGTAGAAAGAGTACAGGTTTTCATTTTGAAGCTGCCTGGGTTCCAGTCAGTTGTGTCACTTAGGTGACCTTTAGCAAGTTGCCTGGCTCCAACATGCAGTAGGATGATCCAATATGGGGGAGGGAGGTGAGAAGAAAGAAGCAATCAGGTGAGGTGTCTAAGTGAGATGGATTAGGAGAAAAGCTCCTGGTCAGGGGAAAGACACATGCCCACACTCCTCACACCTTTAGAGTCAAATCATCTAAGGTAATCTGGGGGGGCGAGGAACTCGACAGTAAGCCCCCACTCACCTGAACCACGATTGGCAGGTGCCTGACAGCCATTCCTTCTCTGATGAGCCCTTTCAGAGACAGAGAGAGCAGGACTCCTCCGGCTGGAAACTTCTACACACCTGTTATGAGAAGACTGGCTCAGTTCTGAAAGCCTTCCAGTTAGGCTGTGAGCAATTACATCTGAAAGTACCACAATACCCCAAGCAGCAAATTCTTAGTCTTACTTGCCACTCAATTCTCTCTTTGCTTCTGAAGGTATTTCTGCTGACCTCCACTATTGTGGACATTGTTCACAAGCTACTACTTTGGCAGAAAGCTACTTCCAACACTAATTCTCAGCTTTCTAGCTACCCTCTGGCATTTGTCCTTAAGTTAAGCGGAGAAATTTATCTAAAAAGCACTATCTCCTCCCCACCAACACCCTCATATCTCCACCCCTGGGCGGCTGCCTACAGCTAGGAGGGGAGTGTAGGAGTAGGGAAGAAATGGCATCTTCTTCCCCCTCAAAAAGGAAGCTAAGAAGGCTGGATTTTCCTTGTTGAAGTGTCTCAGGTCAACCTATTCTCTGGCCTCAGGGCTCTCCTCTGGGCCCCAGTGTGGGTGACCAGGAGTCAAAGGTGGGCGAGAAAGCACCAGTGTATTTGGTGAGGGGCGGGGGGAGAGGGGCTAGGAATCTTATTCTGTCTACACTACCCAACCTCCTGCGCTCTGCCACCCTGCCAGGTCACTGGTGACCCGCTGCAAGGACTGCGCGGCAGCTGCCCCCACCTCAGAGTTCGGCGAACGCGGAGCGCGGAGCGACAGCGGAGCTTCTAACCCCGGAGAGCAGACGATTTTCCTGGGGTTGATCCAAGACACATGCCAGAGGCCCTCCTTTTCATGCACTCACAGATAACTACCCCAACCCAAGAGTCCACTTCTGGCTGACTTCCCTTCTCGCTAGAATCACACCTCGGCCATACGTTTCGGGAAGTTTGGGACATCGGATCAGCATCCTCCAGAATGGGCTCACACCGGACCCACTCCGCTTTCTCTGCACCCTACTCCCCGTGCCCGACCACCCCACAGCCGCCCCCACACTCCCGACGCAGCCCTGGCCACCATGCCTGGTCACCCCTGGATTGCCCTCCGAGGAGCCTCCGCTCACGGCGAGAGATCGCAAGCGCCACATCGCAGGCAGAACACAATAAGCAGGAGTCAGCAGCACCAGGTCTGAATTGCGCTTGCGCGTTGCCCGGGGAACCGTTAAGCCGAATCCCATACAGGGCGGAGGCTGCCGCACTTCAGCTTCCCGGGCTACCCAGAACAGGGCGAATCCCAAGCCAGCGCCCGCACTCGCCGGGCGGGGAAGTGATATTGTGCTCATGCGCCGACAGAGCTCTGCCCTTCCACCCCACGCTTAGCGGCTTTCGAAGCCGAAACTACATTTCCCGGGGGCCTTAGCGGGGTGGGGCCTAACTGTTCCCTCCGGTAACTAATCCGGGGTGCGCTAACCTGCACCGGGGGCTATGGTTCCGTTCGGGTTACACTCTGACTCGGTATTGGCCTTGAAATGATGTCCAGGGAGGTAACAGAACAGCGACGAGTTAACGGTGGGATGAGGGAGGTTGGTCTGGGGGAGGGGCTCCTGATTTCTAGAGAAAGCGGGCCAGGGACAGCCTCTGAGGGCGGACTAGGCGCCCAAAGACTTTAGAAAGCGGTGGGACTGACTGTGCCTCGGCCGGAGGAGATGGAGCGTCCTAATGGCCTGGTCCCGCAAGAGGGTCCGGGCGGCGGGCGGGCGAGAAGTGGGGCGCGGGGCGGGGAGGACGGAGGCGTGGGGCAGACAGCTGTCTTGAGGAGGCTGCCGGCTCTTCAGGGCAGTGGGTGGAGGCTGGGAGGCGGGTGGTAGTCTCGGGAGCCGGGACTTGGCGCCCGAGAAGCGCCGGGGAGAGTAAGGGGCACCTACTGAAGGAGCCTGGACGCCAAGGTAGGCTGTATCTCGCACAGTTGGGTGGACTTTAGAGAAAGTGATGTTGGTTTTTATGGCCAGAATTTTGCTGTAGTGAGCAAGGACAAAGTCATGGGTGGAAATATCTAACTGGAGATAGCTGACTTTGAGTACGTTTTCACGGAGCTCGGGAGGAGAGTACTGAACTGTTGGTGGTGAGTAAAAGCCAAGACTGACCTGAGTTTGTCAGGGAACTGTTGGCCACCTCGCAGGAAGCAGTCAGTGACTTCACGTATGAGACACTACAGCATTGTGTTTTGGATTTTATTGAGAATTGCGCTCTACAGACAAGTTTGAATGCATGTGTCATTGTTCTGGGGGCCAGAGCAGTAGCAGTGGAAACGCCTCATTTTGCAGGCTTAATTCCACTAGAGGAGGTAGTCAGTAAAAATTTTGGTTTAGAATGTAAAATGGGCTGGGGATTATTTAACAGTGTTTTGGGAAATTCTTTGAAGTGATAACATTCGCGCAGATTTGGATAAAGTGAGAGAAGAAACCATGTGACTATCTGGAGAAGAGAGGGAACAGAAATGCCATCCAGGGCAAGAAGTGTGATTGGTTTGAGGCTTAGCATGCCCAGTCTGACTACAGAGAACATGGTGAACAAGGGGGAGGGGGAGGGAGAGGAGTTTGGAATGGTAAATACAGGTTTTGAAGGCCAGAGTAGGAAATTTGGGTTTATTGTATGTGAAGGGAAACCACTGAAGGAGTTTGAGCAAAAGTGGCATGGCTGAGCACACTACAGGGGAACCCATAAGGAGGCTGTTACAGCAGTCTCTGATTTTCACAGTGACTGAACTTTGCTACAAGGCATTTGCTTTGAGAGCCGAAGTGATTCTAAGATAACCATGGGTTCTAGATACTATGCTAAGGAATTTACATAGTGTTATATTTTCAAGATTATGAGGATACTACTACTTGAGCACCAACTATTGATGGGCATTTTTATAATTATCTAATGTAATCCAAAGCTATGTGGTTTGAACTATTAACTGAGAAAACTTAGGCACCAGTATGTTCAGTGCCTTGCCCAAAATCTCGTCTAGTAAGTGAAACCAGGAGTCCTCACTCTGCTGACAGAGCAAAGGTGCCAAGGTTGTCCTCATTTCTTGTTCCCCAGAATGGCTGAGGGCTGACATGCAAGGGCCTAATTAGGCCTTCCAGAATTCCTGAATAATGTAGTAAGGCCTCCATTTATTTGACCCATTTCTCCTGGTACTCCCTCTACTGGTTGCTTTACCAATTTTGTTCTTGTATCCACCTCAGGTGTCAGTAACTCCATTCTTCCTCTCTCCTTTTTTCTGTGCTTCCTTTTGAGCCTTTATGTTACTGCTGTCTTTGTTTTCATCTATATTCTGTCTCATCTCTTTACTCTTTTAGAAAAAGAAATATGTGAAGGGAAATGAGGAAAGTGCATGAGAGAAATATTAAAAATCTGTTTCTGAGGATCCAGAGGGATCATGTGAAGATATGTTCTATTCCCCGTCTTTGCCTGTGGCAACTCCAAGAGTTAGACTTTATAAAGGTCACAGTCCAAAAAGAGTGAATTTCCCAATGGCCAAGTACTGGGAGTCCACAGAGATCTTCACTGCCACCCACAGGTATCCTCTGCACTTATCATTTCTTAATTCATGTTTTCCCAAGGGCTTTTCCTTCTTCCTAGTGAAAAAAAATCCCTGTAGCGTCTACCAGTACACAAAATCTTATTTTTTAAAAAAGATTTATTTATACAAGAACTGGGGTATAGCTCAGAGGTGTGGGAGGGTGAGAGAATACACCAGAGGCAGAGCGGGGAGCAGAACAGGCAGAGAGACCATAGACACTGCTGAGGGGAGCAGCGGGCGAGACAGGAGAGGTCTGCTGCGCCATGTGGGTTTCTCCCTGGCCGGCTGGGAATCAAACCTGCACTGCAGAGGCTGCAGACAGCTTCACAGCGTGTCGCTCAACCCACTGGGCCACTGGGGAGGCCCCCAAATCTTATTTTTTCCACCTTGAGCGGCACACACCCTCCTTTTGCACCCACAGACTCTCACACGAACACCTCTTTTCAGTGACAAACACACTCAGTTCTGCAAGCAAACATATTTGCAGATTTTTGGTTGATTAAATCAACATCTTTCTCAAGGGCCCCTTTCCATGCAACATTACTTCCACTCTAGAGTCTAGAAGAGCTAAAATATTCATTTTCTTAGCCTCCTTTACTCCTATTGTCTTTGAAACACAGCTTTGGTCAACAAGATATAAGCAGGTCATCTGATGGGTTGCTGAGAAAACCAATTCTGATAGAAGGCTTAGGTGTTGCTGCTGCTACCCATCCCCTACCTATCTGCTGTGAATACAAGTTATCTTACCTGAAGCTATGGCAGCCATCATGACCATGCTGGAAAATCCATGAAACCAAAGGCATTGAACTATTTTGTCTATGAACCAATGCCCACTACCTCCAGATTTGTTATATGAGAAAAAATAAATCCCTGCTTGCTTGTAAGCCATTGTTCAGGGGACTTTATTTGTAGTCAAAGTTCAAATAGAGATATATTATCTCAAACCCACTTTCCCCTAGTTATCTAATATCTCCTTTCTCAGTCCAGCCATTAAGTATTTTTTTGACACTTAACTCACTCTTCAACCCACTAAAATTTAGGTTATCAATAAGACTAAAGGCCATATTTCTATTTTTACTTAATCTTTCATATTAGCAATTGGAAATATTAACTGTTCTTATCCCTACATTAAAACTTCCTTTTAATTTTTGTGCTACCACCTCTTGATTTTTCTGGTTTTCATTTTTCTTTTGGCAAGTCTTTCAGCACTGATTCCATTTCTGCTTAATGCCAGACCTTCCTGGATTCATTACTTGGATATGCATAGATTCATCAAAATGCCCTGAACTCATCATTGTCCCACAAAATTTGACAATTTTGTTTTTAATTATGGCACCCCATCTGCCCACATAAATTCAGGTCATTCTAGCCTCTTTCTTCTCATTCAAGTGTCTGCATTTAATCATTTCCAACCATTATCTCGACTCCACTGTTGCTTGAATTCTTCCTTTCCTCTCCCATCCCACTGCCATTTTCTTAGTTTATCCCTTGGAGAACAAAAAAAAAAAAAAAAAATCTTATTCATTTTGGTTTTCTAATCATGTCAAGCAGATAATTTAGCACTTTATTAGTTTGTAAAATAGATGAAATTGTCTTAACTACTATCATAACTACAGATCCAAAAATCTCCCCATGACTGTTTTGATATTTTGAGTTTCAAAGATCTTATTAATGTCAAATTTTCATGTCTATTACTGTTCAGCCTTCGTTCCATTTTGACATTAGAATATGATACAAAGATAGGTATTTGATTCCTATGTCAAGATTATATTAAAATCATGTTGTTTTCCAAATACTCAGCTTATTTAACAACAGTTTATGACTACTAATTGAGAACTCAAAACAGCTTGCTGGTATATTAAGATTTGTACAATTATTCCATCACTTGCTAGCAAGGAGATTCTATGTTAGAGGAGAAAAGAACAATGCAGGGGGAGAGATGGGACATGGAAGAATCACAGGAATTGGCATATGTAGAAAATTTTGACTCAAAGCAGTCAGGAAAAACAGGTAGTGGCACAGGGTATCTAGATAATACATAACATGGTAAATGATCAAGGAGTTCCCAGCACTCATTCTATTTATAGGTTTGTAGCATTCTAGAGCTACTAGGGATTGTGCAGTCCTTCTAAAATAAAAATCCTTTTTACCAAACAAGGGAAACTGACCTGGTGAAGGTAGGTGACTTGTCCAAGTTAGGGGCAGATCAGGACAACATACCAGGTCTCTGGGATGTCCAGTTAGTCACTCTCATATTTCCTCTCCTGTGTGATTTCTGATGTCCAAAGGAGAATCCACAGATAATAGAACTTATCTTTAGCATGAAATTTTACTGTTCAGAACATCAGCTACTTAAACCTCCTAAAATGAAGCTTTACTTTTTTAGTCAAGATTTTGCCACTTTTATATGGTTTCTCTACAGTGGTCTGTATTATCTGGCCTGGTATACTGTACTTCAACTAAAAGATTCCTATAATTGCTACATTTATTGTTTCTATATTGTATTATTTATCTGGTTATCACCAAAGAGTTAAACATGGTGAGAAGACCAAAGAAAACTTTCCTTATGTATGAGTTCTTTGATGTCGTGTAAGGTTTGTGCTCCGACTGAAAGCTTTTCCACATTCATTACACTGATAGGGTTTCTCTCCTGTATGAGTCCTCTGGTGCACTATAAGGGATGAATTCTTAATGAAGGCTTTTCCACACTGGCCACATTCATAAGGTTTCTCACCAGTGTGAATTCGTTGATGCTCAATAAGGTATGCACTCTGGCTGAAGGCCTTTCCACATTCATTGCATTCATAAGGTTTTTCTCCAGTGTGAATAACCTGGTGTACAGTAAGGGATGATCGCCCAGTGAAATGTTTTCCACATACTATACATTCATAAGGTTTTTCTCCAGTATGAATTCTTCGATGTTGGGTAAGAGATGAATTCTTACTGAAAGCTTTTCCACACTGATTACATTCAAAAGGTTTTACTCCAGAATGAAGTCTCTGATGTTCTATAAGGTATGTACTTTGGCTAAAGGATTTCCCACATTTGTTACATTTGTAGGGTTTTTCTCCAGTGTGATTTCGCTGATGTAGGGTAAGAGTTGAGCTCTTACTAAAGGCCTTTCCACATTCATTACACTCATAGGGTTTTTCTCCAGTGTGGCTTCTCTGATGTACAATAAGATGCATACTTTGACTAAAGGCTTTTCCACATTCATTACATTCATAGGGTTTTTCTCCTGTATGAGTTCTTTGATGAACTGTAAGATTCATGCTTTGGGTAAAAGCTTTCCCACATTCATTACATTTGTAGGGTTTCTCTCCAGTATGAATTCTTTCATGTTGAATAAGGGATGAATTCTTGTGGAAAGCTTTTCCACATTCTTTACACTGATAGGGCCGCTCTCCGGTATGAGTTCTTTGATGAACAGTAAGATTCATGCTCTGACTGAAGGTTTTCCCACATTCGTTACATTTATAAGGTTTCTCACCAGTATGAATTCTTTGATGTATGGTAAGGGAGGAGCGTTCAATGAAGTGTTTCCCACATATATTACACTTAAAAGGTTTCTCCCCAGTATGAATCCTTTGGTGCTTAAGAAGGGAGGAGCTCTGGGCAAAGGCTTTCCCACACTCATTACATTCATATATTTTCTCTGCTACAAACAGTCTTTGAGTTTCAATTAATTCAGAATTTTGTTTAGTGTCTTTTCTGTAAGAGTTCCAATTACAGGGACTTTCCCCCATAGGAATACTTTGTTGTGTATCAAGAATTGAACCCTGACTGAAACATCTTTCAAATTCAATATCTCTGTGTACCTTCCTCTCAGTGAGGGCATCCTTATGGGAAACTGCCACTTGGTCCGGCTGTTTAGCCTGGGTTTTTTCTTGCCCTTGTACCCAACTGTCAGGTTCCCAGGTTTCCCCTACGGTTGACTCCCAGAGACCTTCCCTTTCCATTGTTACCTCATAGGACAAATGTTCATTAATTTTGGACTTTGCAGTTGACTCTTCAGTTTCGAGTCTTCTCTCCCAGTCTGGAAAAAAATACATAAATTGTACATTAGTTTCTGTGCTGAGAGACTGAAAGCTACATAAGGTGAAAATGAGAGAATGAAATAGAATACCGGAACATTTGATAGTTTCAAAGATGTCCCTACAATTAAGAGAAATGGAAGGGAAGGAAAGAAAAGTGAACCAGTTCATAGATAATAGGGGAATTACAAGTAGGCTAAGCAGATTAAACAGTGAGGCTATTCAGGATGGAAGGACATGGAAAGTATTGGTCACTGAACAAGGCTAACTTATTGGGAATATGGAAATAAAGGGCAATATATAGTAGTGTTGGAATTGGGAGACAGATCAAAGCCCTGTTATATTGTACCTGTTATTCTTCCAGTAGTTTTCCTTCTGCAATGCCACCTATAATTCTGATAATGAATCTTCTAAACACACAATGACAGTGAAAAGACTGTTGATCTTGCAGTCCGACAAATGGGTTCAAACCCTGGCTGTTAAGTGTTACCATCTAACTAGTTACTTGATTCTCTGGGTCTGACCTTTTTCCATATAAAATTAGATTCATGTAATCTGACAAGGGTTAAATAAAATCATGTAAATAAACTACCCTTTAGGAACATATTTTTCTGGAATATAAAATATCAGAGCACACTTGAAATTTAAATTCTTAAAGAGAAGATAACACAATATAAACTCTTTTCCCTTCCACGGCCTCCCCGGTGGCACAGTAGTTGAGCGCTGGGTTGCGAAGCTGCCCGCAGCCTCTGCAGCGCCGGTTCAATCCCGGCTGCTCCCCAGCCACCGGAGGAGGGTCCCACATGGCGCGCAGACCTCTCCTGCCGCCCGCTGCTCCCCTCAGCAGTGTACTTTGAAGTCCTTCTGCCTGCTCTGCTCCCTGCTCTGGCTCTGGTGAATTCTCTCACCCTCCCGCGCTTCTGAGTGTACCCAGTGCTTGTATGTATAAACAAATAATAAACCTTTAAAAAAAAAATCTTTTCCCCTCCAAACATTAAGCAAACTGTAATTTTATCACAAAGATAAGAGGATCTGTAAGTGCCCTAAATATCCATTCTCTGAAGATGAGAACCAGTGGCAGGGACAGGGAGAGGCAAATCTGCTGAACTGCTTGAGAGGGCCTGAGGAAGGAGCTTACAGCCATTCAGAATTTATTTTCACAGAACCCACTTCTTACCCCTCAGGCAAATAACCTGGAGGCAAAGAGAGGCAGAGGACAGAAAACTACAATCTGAGAATCACTTGTCAGCTTGACCAAAGTCAACAGGCAGAGATCAACACTAACCCAACAAATCAAAAGTGTGGGCAGGAGGCTAAGCATTAACTGGACATCCTCCTTCTGACCAGACTTGCTTTGGTCCCCAATCCATTCTTTCCCTCAAGTAGCCTCAATTCTGCAGTCATATTTCTAAGGTTATCAACTTCATATTTAAGAAAAATGTGCAGTAATGGAAACTTTCACATAAAGCAAAACAGGTACAGAGACTGTGATTTATAAGTCGACTACCTGATACATAAACTTGGTAAATCTACTTTGCAAGGGTACACCACACTTTGGGGGCCTACTAGGCTTAAAGGGGTGCTGAGCTGCCATTTTGGCTATGCAATTCAGACTTTGCAGTACAAAGTCCATTCAGCCCAGTCAATCAATTACCTAAATTTAAAAAATGCAAAACTACCACCCCTGCAAGGTTCCTCTCAAGTTAAACAACAGTAGAATGCTTCATCCCCTGGGACAATGAGAATATGCCAGGAGGCATGACCAGAAACACCTGGGGACAACTGACTGATGTGTAACGATGTGTAACTTTGTGTCCCAGAGACTGATTAGTGAAATGTCGTTAATAAGATCAGAACCACAAGTGGGGGTCAGAAACATGATTTCATCTTCAAATACAGGCCATAAAACTAATCGGGATCCGCAGACTCATCACCCCAAAAAGCCTAGATAATCTAAGCATACATTCACTTCCTTCTAACTTTTCTCTTTGTTCTCCTGCTCTGAGTAACTGACTCTGTAAAATCACTCAATCAATAAAAGGGCCAGATTTTGCCTTCTCAGCAGCATCCTGCTATAACAGCTTGCTCCACGACTCCTGTTTCTTTGAGTGGTGTTGCTTGACACAACAACAATTTTTAATGTAGTATTACAACAGCAACAACAAAAAAATGGATATAACCCAAATGTCAAATAGAATAGATAACTAAGTTGTTCAAATGTTTATACAATGGAATAACTGCTAACAGTGTATGTTAGGAATTTATGTTTGTGTTTCCCCAAAACTCACAGGTTGAAGTCTAATACCCAACTGGTTAGTAGTAAAAGGTAGGGCTTAGGGCGATCATTAATGAGGGCAGAGCCCTTATGATGGGATTAAGTGCCCTTCTAAGAGACAGGAAAGAGTTAATAACATAGTAGGAAGGCAGTTATGAGGAGGGCACTCAACAAGAACCCAATCGTGCTGTCATCCAGCTCCTCGGACTGCCAGCCTCCAAAAGTGTGAGAAATGTTTGATATTTGTCACTTTGCTTATGATATTGTTATAGCAGTTTGAAGATAATTAAAATGAATGAGCTAAAACTACACAGGTAAATATGAACATTTATTCACAGGTTATTTCAGCAGACCAGAATATACAGAGTAAGAATTTATTCAGATGACGTTTATAAATAGATTAAAACGAAATATATCAGTTAGAGATTCATTTATAGATGGTCATACCAAGGCAAAGCAAGGGAAAGGGATTATCAGAGAAGTGAGAATAGGGTTTTGTCTTGGGTGAGTTGATTTGAATAAGAGGTTTATATAAAGCAAAAGACATTAACAGTGCTCTGTTTCTCAAATATGCATTCTAGTACTTGGATATCTGCTTTCTTTATTATTCATTCATTTTCATCAATATGAACTATAAAGAGAAGGCTCCTCCTATAAGAGGAGCCACTAGGGTTTCTGTTCCACTGATACAGTGGAGCCTGTCTGCCCTGCTCCATTGCCGGGTCCACCACCAGCATGAGACCACCCAACCTCAGTGCAGGATGGCTTTCACACACCGCTGAAGTTTTGATTTAAAAGCCTGACCAGTTTTGAAAATATACCAATCAGGTTTGGAAGCCAGGCCTTCAGATAGTTTCAGACGTACATTGGGCCAGACTCTCTCCTGAGAAGATCTTTCACACAGGCCTCCAAGACCTTCTTGATGAAATATATATATATATATATATATATATATATATATATATATATATATATTTTAATTATTATTGAGCAAATGGATATAATAAAGATCCCAGCAGAACTTTCAGCCGCGTGCAACTGATATTCCAAGGCAGGTGTAACTAACAAGTTTGCTTACTTAAAACTCCTGCGCTTCTGACTGTACCCAGTGCATGTATAAACAAACAAATAAATAAATAAATAAATAAAACATGCCTCTATAAAAAAAAAAAATAATAATAATAATAAAAAAAAAACAAAAAACTCTTTCCCTTTTAGGATTCATGGCAAGGGTCTCAGCATTCCTATTTAAACAAAGTTGCATTTCAAAAAGTCAGACTACCAGTGGAGCAGGCCTGTCTCTTTGGGGTAAGCTCCAGAGGGCTGCATCCCCTCCCACTCTTCAAGACTCTTTGTGTGGGAAGCTGCTCTGCTCACTTTTCTCTCCACCAAGGGTTTTGCCAATTATCAATGTAACAAATGTGAAGACATTTATAAAAGGAACCCTTTGTCTTTAAACCAATGGTCAGACCTTAAGGGGCAACCCAGGTCTGAGACCCCATGCATGTGTATTAAAGCTTTTTCTGACCTCATCATTCCTGAAGTATCGCTTTTTTGTCCTCTGCTTCGCTAAAGGGGCAGAGTATCTGTAACATTCTCTCTTCAAGGACTCTGAGACCTTCATGTCAGACCAACTTTCATACAGCTCACTGATGGGACTTGCTTGACAGACCTGTTAAGATCCTTGCATCTGATCTCTCCTTCAAACTATGGCCTGATTGCTGCTTGTACCTCTGACATTACCTCCTGACTAGCACAGGTGGCCCGTGAATGATGACTCTAAAAGAGCTGTACCTGGTACCTGATCAACTCGCACTGCTTCTGAAAGAGCTGTGCACTAGTGCTTGGTCCTCTGGCACCATATCTGTTCACTGCTTCTGGAACATCCAACACTGCCTCCCAGTGCTATCTGAGCTGGCCTCTGGTGTTACCCAGTGTTACCTGTGAGTACCTCCAGTGGCCACCATTAGTTGGATCCACCACTTATTGGTGTGCCACAAGTTCCAGGCCCAGGCTCATGTGGAATGGACGATGCCATCTTTCACAAGTAGCTTTTGGTTTGGAATACTGGAAATTGTGTACACTATCTGTGGTAGGCCAGATTGCCATTTGTGGCATTAAAAACACTTTTTTTTTTTTTTTTTAGCAAATGGAGGCATCACAGTCCCAGATTTCAAAGTGTACTACAAAGCCATAATAATCAAAACTGCATGCTATTGGAACAAGAACACACACACAGACCAATGGAACCGAATAGAAAATCCAGACATAAACCCACAGACTTACAGTCAACTAATCTTTGACAAAGGAGCAAAGAATATGCAATGGAGGAAAGAAAGTTTGCTCAATAAATGGTGCTGGGAAAACTGGGTCGCTACATGCAAAAGAATGAAGCTTGACTACTACCTCACACCATGCACAAAAACCAACTCAAAATGAATTAAAGAACTCGACATAAGATCTGAAGCCATAAAATATATAGAGGGAAATACAGGTGAAACACTACATGACATACACCACAGTAACATCTTTAAAGACTCATCACGGGCCTCCCTGGTGGCACAGGTAACTGAGTGCTGCACTGTGAAGTTGTCCGCAGCCCCTACAGCACAGGTTCAATCCCCGTCTGCTGGGTTGAAACCAACATGGTGTGGCATACCTCT